CTTCATTTTCAACTGAGCCTGGGACAAGTTCTCTCGAGCAATCTCCCCAACTCTCTTTAATCTGGCCTTGAATTTAACATACACTGAAAGTGGAATTTTTATCTTGTTATTCACCCAACTCTCCTTCAAAACTGTCAACGGACACCTTACATCATGTCCGAAAACTAACTGAAAAGGACTAAAACCAAGAGCATCCTATCAACTATCCCTATTGGCAAATAACACGAGTGGCACTCCATCTCACTCCTCATTCTCCCTACAGTATTTGTTTAACACTGATTTGAATGTCTGATGGAACCGTTCAAAGGCTCTGAGATTGTGGGTGATAAGCAGTAGACAGATATTGCTGAATGCCCAACTCATTCATGACTATTGGACTGTACGATCTTTGGAATACCATTGTAACCGCCGTCCGGACGGTTAAAGGATTTAATTAGACTTGTCACGTTAAACTTGAACATTATAATTCGGTCAAACCTGTTGAATACAATTCATTTTAGTATTTCAAATAAATCATACATAGGCAATCACATAAATGTCTAATCCAATATATTTTTACATAACAATCATAGCTATGTAATTAGTCTAATCTTAACACTTAAAATGAGTACTTAATTTGCTATATTTTTATGTCGTCACAATGATACACGATGCAATGGACACAGTCTACCTGTGTACACAATAAATACAAGTTAAACTTACGTGTTGAAAGTCTTCAGGAGAAACAGGTTAGGTGTTGGTGGTGTGATGGGGATTGCTACAGTGAGGTTGGCGGTTCCCTGCTGGGCACCACATGATTCATGCCGGCTATTCAACTCGCTGCGTCAGGCGTATTATACGCAAACAAGCTCCCCTCACCACACCCAACACCTCAACCTACTCTAGGTCTCTCATCTGCCTCCGTCTCAACACTATATACTGTATACGGGCAGGCACACCCAATAAACATGACATGTGTTGCAGCCTAACATAACGTTTGTTTGTGTCATCATAATTCAGTACCACTTACAGTAACAACCATATTGGGTGAAAAAGTGAATCGGAGCCATTCCCACATTTTTAGCAGCGATTCGTCTAAGTGGTATAGCCTCTGGGTATCTAGTCGTTGCACACAAAGCAGGAATTGTTTGCCACTACGACTTCTTGGGAGAGGACCAACACAGTCTATTATTACCTTACTGAGGGGTTCTTCTATTGCTGGAATAGGCTGTAAAGGGGCTGGTTTGATTGACTGATTATGTTTACCTGTCATCTGGCATTCGTGAAAAGTCTTGCAGTACTTTGCCACCTCTCTCTTCAAGCCAGGCCAATAAAAGAGGTAATATCTTATGGTAGAGTTTCCTAACCTGTAAGTGTCCTTCCAGAAAATCGTGTGCCAGTCTCAAGATCTCTCCCCTATGACATTTTGGGACAACAATCTGTCTAACCACATGCCAGTCTTCCCCTGCGGGCACCGAGGATGGTCTAAATTTCCTCATCAGGAGGCCAGAAACCGATTAGTAACAAACAGGCAAGTCACCAGCTTTTTCCTTGCTTACAGATCTGTTGCTCAGCTCTAACAACTCTGGATCACTTTCCTGGTCAAAATTCCTTCTTTTTCTATTCAAGACATCTTCAGAGGCAACTGCCTCTGAAGATGTCTTGAATAAAGACGAAAGCTAAGGTGCTCCATTGTTTCCATTTTCCCCTGTGTGATTTTATTAAAATTTATCTTATCCACGTTTTTATTGTGGATCTATATGATATATATATATATATATATATATATATATATATATATATATATATATATATATATATATATATATATATATATATATATATATATACTAAGCGTAATTCACATCTTCAGGGGTAAGTACAGTCTGTATACAGTACTCACCCCTGAAGATGTGAATTACACTAAAGCTTGGAATTTCTTTTCCTTGTGGTTATCAGCATATACCTGGATCACACGCACCCAGTGATTTACTTGTGTATATATATATATATATATATATATATATATATATATATATATATATATATATATATATATATATATATATATATATATATATAAAGTGGGTAAATACTATAGTATAATTTTAATGGATTAATTAACTACCAGTCTACGTACATCATATTTAAATACACGATCATAGTCCGAAAATTGTTGAAAAAAATGTCCGTATATTGTAGTATTTACGTCACCCGAAACCCTTCACCATAGATTTATGGACTCTTGTGACGAACCGGATATAGCATCGAATACGCCACCACTAGCAGTCTGCCATAAAATACGTCCTTCAATTTACAATCTGTCTGGACTGTTCCCTTCCTCTCTATTGTGTTGAGCCCTTCACCGTGACCAGTCATTCTTACATTCCTAAAGACTGATTTCAGGCACTCCAATGGCTGTTTGTTTAGTTTATCGCGCACACATTGCTAGCTGAACATATACATTTTTTTCTTCAAAAAAGGAACTGACTGCAATATCGAAAACTCAAACATTGAAGCAAATTTATAGGAAAATTATGTATGGGTGGTAACGTGCACCTGCGTGTGTTTGTGGCTCCCACGTAATCAAATTATCCCGTCACTAGGAACCGTATCCGCCTACGTCCTGTGTAACTTATCCCAGTACAAGCAAGGGCTTCCTTTGTTGGTGTTACTACCAACAAAATTATGAGAAATATTAAATAACTTGTATTTTTCCCAGGCAGAATCAGACATAATCTAAAATTCAGCTTGTTTCTCCATATAGTTATCCACAGGGTTTCAACAATCCCTTGTGTTTTCTAGGGAAAAAAATCTCTCGTTCCTCCTTGACCGAAGCAGTGCTGCTCTCTGCTGCACCCACCATCCGAACCCCCCACCTCCCCCCACCCCCCCCCACCCACCTCCCCCACCCACCTCCCCCACCCACCTTCCCTCCCTGATGTAGCTGCTGCACCCATTACCTACACCCACCCACCCACCCCTCCATGTACAATAACTGCTGCACCCACCTCCACCCACCCACATCTACCCACCCCCTCATGTACAGTAGCTGCTGCACCCACACATCCATTCCCCTAACTTCTGTAGTTGCTACACCCACTTCCTTCACTTCAGTAGCTGCTACACCAGCCCTAATACACCCCCCTTCCCTCCACATCTGCTACAGTCTCGCTCACGTCTTGTACACCGGGCCTGTCATTGTTGCAGCTGCTGTTGTGTCATCCTCACTTCCCATCACTCACGTCCCCACTTAACCTTCATTAGACTCCTCATCACCCAACCTACACCACACAGATCCTCCTTTTGACTCCACAGATACGAATTTGGGTGGGGAAAGGGTCCTAATTGATAAAATACATTTTTATTCACTCTCCCTCGAGTCTCAACAGACTCCTCATGATCGTGGTTGTAGTGATAATGAGAGTGATCATAATGATGGTGAGGGTGGTGATCATAATAATGTTAATCTATTTAACCGTCTGTCTATCTATAATAGACTTATCCGACAGGGTTGTATTATTCGCCATAGGTGGGACGATCAGTTTGCCCAGATTCACCACATCACACAAAATTATGAATAACATTGTGATAATAACCCAGTGAATAAGGCTGTTGTAAAGTCCGAGCTGTGCGGACTTTCTCTGTTGCTTTCACTTTAACACTATAACAAGAAATTTGTGCCAAAACGAGTCATATCTCCTAAAGATTAGCCCTCAATTTATTTTATGGTGATTAAATACCCGAATGCTAAATTAACCTAAGCCCCAAGGTCTGATTCCTGAGTACTGTATATGGAAGCTCTTCTAGCATCGGTAACAACATTAAGATTCATCGAAGTTTTCAAAGAGCAGAGACAAGGTTAAGAAATTAGGTATCGTGTGTCGCCTGCTAGCTGATATTCTAAGTTTTCAACGTGACGGAGATATTAATTGTCTATGGTACTTTTAACGCTTTATAGTGATGACTCATGTAAAAGATGTAAGTAAGTAGGTTTAACACGAAGAACGATCTTCTCATTCTAAGGATAATGTTGCATAAGATCAAGCTGTGGATGCCAGGGTTGGACATTTAATAGTCGGGAAAGCATGGGAAAGTACATTTTTCATAACTATGGAAGAATTACCGTCTTCACTCTGTCTAGAAACAACGAAAAACTTATATATAGTATTATATACAGACGGTGGCTCAGGAGATAACTGCTTGTATTTGTATGTTGATGATGTGTGTGTGTGTAGAGTAGTGTTATCAGAAAGGTGTGGGGTGAGCGGTGACCGACACTCCCACTGACGTCATCCTTTCCTGCTAAATATAAACATGATACCGTCATTTCCAGCGGCGCCTGTCATAAAGCTAATTTTTATTCCCATATTAAAGTTTTAAAAGATTCTGCCTTTCTGTGGCTTTAAGGCGCTATATCCTTTATGCATGTATACTGTATGCATTGTTATCAATCTGAAAAAGCCAAACAAATCTAAGATCTGCAGTAAATATATATGTTCGGTGAACAATAACGCATTAAGCAGAACATTAACCTCCAGGAGTCTGGCGCCGCCTTGCTGTGCTTTCTTTTCTTGTTTCATGGGAGGAGTTCACTCCATTGATTTCAACTTTCAACTCTTCCATGCGCAGTCTGACCGCGTTATTTATCTCTAGAAACTTTTACGTTATTCATTTTGTAAAATGTTCTGTTCTGTTCCAGTTTGAATATGGTAAAAGTGACGGTAAGAATATTTGTCAAAAAAGATTGGTTAGGAACCACCCAAAAGAATATCTGAGTATGCTAAAGAATTCTAGAAATCCTACCATATCTGCTTTTTTATCAAGCTAAATTTTATTACTCTAGAAAGAAGTGAAACAAATAAATACTCTGGTAATTGCACACGTCTTCCCCGTCACACTACCAGTTCCTATCTAGTAAGACTTGTTTCCTAAAATAACAATAATAATCATAATAAATACACATTAATGAAAGTACCCATTTTAATGTTTAGTTCCCGTAGAAGGCATAGATTAAAGCATAAATTGAGAGAATAATGAAACAAATTGAACATCATCCCGCCCAGAGCTGCGCAGTGGAGATTTCAAAACCGGCGCAGCTCACGTGGCCAGAGGTTATATATACGGGGACGAGGTGCGCGGTCGACATCCTATTGCGGGAACACCCAAGCTGCTCCTGTGAGAGGCTCCACTCCGTTTTAATTTTACCAAATCCCTCCAAAATGGTGAGTAAGATAATGTATTGTAATAATTCTTAGTGAGTTATGCGAGTACCTATGGGTGTTGTTTGATGTTGAGTGTATTGATGTATTAGACAAAACCGGCTCAACAGGTTGGTGTTTGTGATGCAATGTGAGAGCGGTGGGATTTGAATAATGTCGGCAGTGATATGTAGATTTTGTTTTAAGATTTTAAAAGTTCATGCTTCTGGTTATAAAGTATTTGCAGAGTAGGCTAATGCTACATCTTTTTTTTAACATTACAATGTACTGTAGTAGTTGTAGCGTTATTGGTGAAGGTGGTGGAATTTTCTCCCCACCCCAGTGTGGCCTCCCCGTCATGACATGAGTCACGGTAACCTCAGTGGAAGGCCTTGACGGGCTTCCACATCTTGTTACCCAGCCAGACATAGGTTGGGTAGACAGGGATTATGTAACCAGGCTTAGTGGAATATTTATGAAACCATGCCATGTCTAATTGGTCGTAGTTTGAAGAGAAAGTTTCAAATTTAGGGCGGGGACCGTGAACAAGATGGCTGCTACGCTCTGAGTGGTAGCTAGGACGGAAGTCCCGCTCGAGGGAGTGTGGCGAGACTGATGGGCTGACTCATGGACACCGGCGATCAGCTTGAAGGATCACCTTGGCATTCTTTTTTATGACTATTTGGAGCTTTTATTAATCCACTGAATGGTTAATTTAGAAATGGTTAATAAAAATCATTCACCCAGATTGTGTAAATAACCGACTCTTCTAAATCAGCAATATTGGAAGAAATGTTTTCCTCGGAAATCTATCGAAAAAGATGGAAAAGAAATTGGAGCTCGTTTTTATTAGATACATCTGAGGATACCATGTTTACACGTAATATGTTGCTAATTTTCCAAGCAACCCTTTCATGCCTACCTAAAATAATATCGAAGCTGTTATTAGTCCGGTCATGGACCTTTACTTCCGTGCATGCGGGTGATTTCCGTAATCTAGGATCACCATCAACCGGAATGGATGCCAAACAAATAGAAGGGAGAGTTTATAACCGGTACAGTGGCCCGAGATCTCCCCCAATCTCGGTGGTTCCTTTGTTGATAATGTGCAAAAGTCTAGGTTATTCTGGCAACATAGCACTAGGAAAACATATGGAATTGAACCAGTATATGTGGGGTGACTAATATAATCCTGAACACGGAAATGGAAGTAAGAAGGCACAGAACTTGACCTAACATTGTCCTGGATCGTAGTATCCACAGATTTTGCCTCCATTCCGTTTTTTTTTTCGGTGCCAAACGGAGGTACTACCGCCTGGGAAGATATTGGAAGCATAATGTGTTGTCTAATGGTAGACCCTGCTGCCATATGGCATCACGAAAATTTTGACCAAGTCCCAGGTTGCTGATCTGACTTTCTGCCTCATTTACAAACAATTGCTGGTCTCAATTGTTTCTCTTGCTATTGATAACCCAACATACATACTGTATATGGTTTCCCACTTTTGATCTTAATTTTTTTTCTCTGGTTCTTTATTATTTTATTTTCAATTTCATTTACTATGAATAATTATTATTACAATTACATTTTTGCTCCCCCAGGCCCCGATGTGGGTCAGTGACCTGTGCCTAGGTGGGCTAATCCCCTTAAAAAAAAAAAAATCTTAACTTGTGCATTATCAGCAAACAGATCACCGAGATTGGGGGAGATCTCAGACAGTTATACCAGACCAGTAAACTTGAGTACATGCTTTAGGTGTATTCTTCATCCGTCTTAGGGTAGGTAGGCTTGGCTGGGCTCACTTTATCTTATGGCAGTGTAAAAAAAAAAAAATCAACTATGCGGTACCGTGGGTTGTGAATGGGAACCGTGCTGAAAACAAAATTAAGGTAGCGTGAACTTTTCTGGGAAAATGTAGGAAATTTGCAGCTCCTTGATCCTGCAATGAGATGGTTTTCTAGGTACCAGGTACTTATGCATATTCATTGGTGAAAACCATATTTAGTTGAGGTTCATTTTTCCCATATTATTCTCCATTAAGTGGGTGGGTTCTTTTAAAACAGAAATGGGGAAAATATGTACAGTAAATGTAATATTTTGTCAATTTTAAGGGTTTGTGTTTATCACTTTGTAGTATAACAAACTTCCAACCACTCCTTGGAAAATTGCATCATGGAATAGGGTATGATGTCAAATGCCAGTTAAATACCATTTTTATTACTCGTTCACACCTTTTCATGTTCGTTTGCTAGGTTTGGACACCTTATGGTATGGAAAGTTGATTAGAAATTTTGGTTCGACCTCCAACAGGCCTACATTTCGCTCTAATATTGTAGGACACGAGTTTAGCTCAATGCTACAGCAAAGTAAAGGGACCAGTCTAGATATTTGTGGCCTATGGGTGCAATGTTAGATTTTAAATAAGCCCAAGTTATTACTGTCTTGGTTTGTTTTTCATATTGTATTTTGTTTTTCCTCAGCGTGAGTGCATCTCCATCCATGTGGGTCAGGCTGGTGTCCAGATGGGCAATGCCTGCTGGGAACTATACTGTTTAGAACATGGTATCCAGCCTGATGGCCAGATGCCCTCTGACAAGACCGTTGGAGTTAGTGACGACTCGTTTAATACTTTCTTCAGTGAGACTGGCGCCGGCAAGCATGTCCCAAGGGCGGTGTTTGTTGATCTTGAACCATCTGTTGTAGGTAAGTTGATGCTGTTGAAAATGTCTAGTGGGTGGTATTATATGCTTAGTATAGTATGCTAAGCTAAAGTGCTTTAAATACCACTTTCACTTCAAATTGTAAGTGCTCTTTTAATTAAAGTACACATGAAACCCTGGCCATTTTGGTTGGTTGAAGGCCGGTTTACCACTGAAATGGATATTGCACGCTTATATTTTTTTTTCTTGTTATGTGGGTAATGTTCCTACTGTACATTGATTAATAAATTGTACTGTATTTGCACAATTTGACAAGGACACCCAACAAGTTTCTGGAATTTCATAGACAGTATTAGACAAGTCAGTTGGTTTGTTAGGTAATTTTTAATGAAAAATTTCCATGGGGGGTGTTAATGCTTTATGAACATGCATGTTGCATTAAAAGATTTCTTTTTCAGATGAGGTGCGCTCTGGAGTATATCGCCAGCTTTTCCATCCTGAACAGCTTATCACCGGCAAGGAAGATGCTGCTAATAATTATGCTCGTGGTCATTACACCATTGGCAAGGAAATTGTTGACATTGTACTTGACCGAATTCGTAAGCTGGCTGATCAGTGCACAGGGCTACAGGTTGGTATTTAAAAGAATTTGGATGTTCTACATATTTTAAGTCCGAAATAAAGGTTAAAGTAAGATACTGCATCTATGTCATTGGTTAATAATGTAAACTTGGAGAGTTCTAAGGGAAGTGTTTGTTGAAATTGAGCAGTCTTATAATATACTGTATAGAAAATCCCTTACACCTACCTCTGTAGGGACTGATCTCGGCTGACCAACTTGTGTAAAATGCCAAGCTGGTACTTTAGATGTTCCCAAAGATCAACTATTTTGGCTTGTTCTCCATGCTTTCACCTCCCTCCTTAATACAGTACATGCAAATTTTACAACCCAAATGCACTTGTATATATGGTAAACACATTGACTTGAGTGCCTTACAATGCAGGAACCATAAAATAAGTTTATATATATATATAATTTTTTTTTTTCGACTGGGATTCTAAATCCATTCATCTTTCGTAAACCTATGCTTGGTGCACAAGCATTGTGGCACTGCCATTTCTGTCTTGGAGTAAATGGATTAGATGGTGAACATGTAAGACCTTGTGCACTCAACCATAAATGATCCACATAATTAGATATTGATTGATATACCAAGTTGTATTTTATTTATTCCAGGGCTTCCTAATTTTCCACTCCTTCGGTGGTGGTACAGGTTCTGGTTTTACTTCACTGTTGATGGAACGCTTATCAGTTGATTATGGAAAGAAGAGCAAGCTGGAATTTGCTGTGTACCCTGCTCCTCAGGTGAGCTACTTGTTTATTTTAATGGTTTACAAATTTATATACAATTTCTCGTGGTAAATCCCAACTTTCTGAAGCAAATTGAATTACTTTAAAACCAAACCACGGGGTAACTTAAATTGGAATATTTTTTTATAATTTTATTTCAATATTGAATCTTCAAATATAATCTTTCAATACTTTCATATTTTAATGAAATGTCCAGGACTGCCATATAATAGAGTATATATTTGTTTTATTTTTTCTACATTTCAAATATGATATTGTAGCTCAAGTACTGATCAATTCTAATTGTAGTTGATACATGTATGTATTAGTAATTCTGTGTTCAATGCTTGTACACAAATACTGTGGTCAGTTTAACTTGGTCAGATTTATTCCTTGAATAGACAAGTGATTGTTTTATATCCACAAGGAATTACTGTGCTACCATAAGATTACGTTGGGTGGCTTCAGACAAAATTACGAAGAAAAGATTGGGGTAACGGCTTGGACATTTAAAGCAATGTTTTCTTGGTATCAAGATGTTGCTCAACTATTTACAGTAGTTTTTATATGCAAACATTATCTGCTAGTTTAGGTGTATACTGTACTTGTAAACCTGAATGTGACTTCAATGTAGTTGTGGAAGCTGTCTTTGACCTGGTGACTTCGGACAGTTCAACAATTACGGTGCTGTACTTGGGAGGCAGATTCCAAATGTTATTCATGCATATTTGTTTGATTTAAATCTTGTGCAATAATGGCATTGTGCATGGTACTGATAACGAAATAATTATTTTAAAAGGTAATCTGCAGCGGAGGATAAACGAACATTCCCTGTTGGATTTATTTTTTCCCGTGTCCTAATGTATAATATTAAAATTGGGCCCCTAGCATGGCCAAATAGGTCATTTTCATGTAATACAATTTTGAGTTTTCCCATTTTAACTTGTACTGTGTGGAATTCTGTCGAGGCAAATTTTTTCGGAGTTCATTGGTGTCTCGAGCCACCCCCCAGATTGTTTGGTCAGGCTATAACAGGTACAGTCATTGATTAACATATGCTGTAACTTTGAACTTAAACTGCATTTGTATTTCTGTTATAGAGGACAATTGTGCACTGAAAGTTTGATGTGAAATTGAAAACTGGAAAACTTTATTAATGATAACATTTTTAATCCCCAGGTTGCTACTGCTGTTGTTGAACCCTACAACTCCATCCTGACAACCCACACAACTCTGGAACATTCTGACTGTGCATTCATGGTTGACAACGAAGCCATCTATGATATCTGTCGCAGGAACTTGGATATTGAACGGCCCTCATATACGAATCTCAACCGCTTGATAGGTCAAATTGTGTCTTCCATAACGGCTTCCCTAAGATTTGATGGTGCTTTGAATGTTGACTTGACTGAATTCCAGACCAATTTGGTGCCATACCCCAGGATCCACTTCCCACTGGTTACTTATGCTCCTGTCATTTCTGCTGAAAAAGCTTACCATGAACAGTTGTCTGTGGCAGAGATCACCAATGCCTGCTTTGAACCAGCCAACCAGATGGTCAAGTGTGATCCACGACATGGGAAGTACATGGCCTGCTGCCTCTTGTACAGAGGTGATGTAGTGCCAAAGGATGTAAATGCTGCAATTGCTAATATAAAGACCAAGAGAACCATCCAGTTTGTTGACTGGTGTCCAACTGGTTTTAAGGTTGGCATTAATTACCAGCCACCAACAGTTGTACCAGGTGCTGATTTGGCAAAGGTTTCCCGTGCAGTGTGCATGTTGTCAAATACAACTGCCATTGCTGAGGCATGGGCACGTCTTGACCACAAATTTGACTTGATGTATGCCAAGCGTGCCTTTGTCCACTGGTATGTGGGTGAGGGCATGGAGGAGGGGGAGTTCACTGAAGCTCGTGAAGATTTGGCTGCCCTGGAGAAGGATTACGAGGAAGTTGGTATGGATTCTGCCGACGGTGAAGACATTGAAGGTGGGGATGAATATTAGGTTCTCCGTCAAGAAAGACACCAATTGGTTTCCACTGATTAAATTTTTTATTCTAACTGGAGCATTACATTCCTGAAGTGACCAAACACACAACTTAATGAAATGACGTATTTTTTTATTTGCAGCCCAAATTACTTGCTTTAATAAATCAGATTTGACAAATGTATTTTAATGACCTTTTCCAAATGATCCCTTTATGTTGAATGTAGCACAGGCACAATAGTAATCCTTGAGGATCTCTGATTAGAAAACCAACCTTGCTAAGATGGTGCTTGGAACACGATCTGTAATGCATAGTACACTGTATTTGATAAAATTGGGTTAATATGAAGGTCATCCAGCTATAAAATTACACATTTACCTGATGTTAACTGGGATACCATTCCTTTAGGTCATGGTAAACCCAAAATGGAGGAAAGCGAAGTTTTGTCCTTTGAAATTAGTGTGGTAATGGCCGACTTAAAATATAGGCCTAACAATCCTTATAGGAGTAAGTGCTGGTGGTGATTTTTGGAGACAAATTAATTTGTACCTTAGAATTTAAAATTAGCCTATAAAGGGTATTTTTAATATGAAATCGGAGTACTACTGTCATCGTATCTGAGGGCAACTAAAGTCCACTTTTAATGTGGATGTTTACCAATACAGTTCGCTTAGATTTTGTAGTTGGGGACCAAGTTTTTAATTTGTCATCCATCCCAGTCTCTGCTTACCCCTGAATTCTTACCCTCAACTTTGGCCATTGTTTTATTTCTTCATCCCTAATTATATGACCAAAGTAACAAATTTACCCTGAGAAAGTACATGGTAAGGTTGTAACAAGGATTTGTTTTATATTACCTGATCTTTATTCATAAGCTTTCTATATTTGATACAATACGATGTCGTTTGCCAAAGCACATTGTTTTTCCTATGAAAATGGGGAATTCTTGCTTATAGCCTAGTTAGCGTAGTGTATGGCCAGCTGTTAGACTTGCATACATACCTACGTGTAAGAGATCATGCACTAAGGATGGAGGTGAGAAGGGAAACTCAATGGCGAACCATGAACCCCGAGATTCAGACTCTTGAATCGGAAGCATTTATGGACAGAATAATGTATCGGCGTCTACTGCTTTGGGTTCACGAGTCTGAATTTCGTGGTTCGCGACAGGACTTCTTTGGGTGACTGTACAATGCAGTGCTAGGGAATTGCTGTGTGGTGAGGAGCTTGTTGAGAGGTCTTGTCTGTTTGAGAGCATTGGGTAGAATCACCTTCATGGCGAGGGTGGGGGTATTTATACGATTCTGCCGGAAGTGAGCGGCGCTGCTGATTGGCTGAGGTGAAAGGCGGTAACTGGCCAAGCACCGCACAGTCCGAAAGCGAGGCTTGGTCTGTGGAACTCGCCGCTGGTTGGCTGGCAAGTGACAAATCGGCAGTTGTAGGGGAGTCTCCACTACAACAGTATTAGACTTTACCAGGGAGTTGCCTAGTGAATTTGAGTTTTGTAAACTACATATTGATAACACTCCTTTAATTCAATCATTACATGTTAATATGAGCCACGCTTTCCTCAAAGATGGATTTTGTACATCATATTAGTCCAATTCTTTTATGTTGGTTCTTTATGTAATAGGAATGCTACCTGTCCTTTCAAGAGAGGTGAGTGGGTTAATTTATGATTAAAGCCCACTACACTGATTTAGATAATTTACTTTAGAAAGATTTGGGGGGAAATACCACCCATGAACATGCTTGAAAGTTTGTGCAAATTGATATTAACTAATATTTACGCAGAGCCATAATTTAAAAATTTTGGGCCATGTCTGTCTGGCCAAGATTCCCGCCCAAATGAAATCTGTATCTGTTAATCACTTGTCCTTTGACCTTCCTGAGTCGTGTGTGTGAGTTACCAGTATTGATCACCGGAGGTGCTGGTGGGTAGAACGGTACCGCTCTTGCCTTGCAAGCGAGATATAACGGATTTGATTCCCGGGCCGGTGGAAAGTTGTTCGGACACACTTCCCAGCCTCCTTTGGTCCCTGTTCACCTAGCAGTAAAGTAGGTAACTGCTGTAAATCGAAAGTTGCGAATTCGTATTCAGGGACAAGTTGTTGGAGCTTCCAATAACTTGCTTATACATAAACCACTGACTCTTCAGGCTTCTACGCCCTTAACTCATGAGACATAAAGGCAAGCATGAACTTATAATGCTTCCCTGTTGGGCACTGTAAAACGCTTCTGTGCTTCACCTTACGCAAGGATGTAGGGAGGGGTGCCCAATAATAATAAGAAAAAAATATTGATCACCAGACATGAGGTTAGTACAAGACTAACCGTAATAATACTGTGGGGTGATGGGTTGTTTGTTCATCCTCAGGATGGGATGGAGACAGGAAACTCACAATGTGCTCTCTGTATACATATTGTATTGGATGTACAGTGCAACTTGGTGCTGGGAAGTGGCAGTGTGGTTACAAGCGTGAGTAGGGAGAGCTGGTTGGTGAGGGTGCTCAGAGGTGGTGTTGCTTGCTGCGGCTGTAGCGAGAAGAAGGGTAGGTCACCACGAGGTCAGGTCTTATATAGCGGAGGTAGGCGTGGCTTAATAGTTGACCTCCGTCATGTAAGGCGGCGCTGGTTGACCTTTACCACGAGGCATACACTGGGGAATTCGCAGGGTCGGCTACTCCGCGACAAGCGTTTGTTGAGGAGGAATCCACTACATTACCATAAACGTATTTGTGAATCGCTAGATATTTAAGTTAAGGCTTTGATGATTTCGTTGGTTAGGTTAAGATAGTTCAGGTCTGGTCTAGGTAGGTTGAATTGGGTTTTAATTTATGAACATGTAAATAAAAATTGCTACGTTCGTTTTTTTTTTTTGTACATTTTCACGAGAAATGTTGGTCAAACTATTGCAATAGAAGAATAAAAGACGTGTCGAGCTTCACTCATAAATTTACCGAAAGATGAATGAAGAAGAGATTCTTTTATTCAGGATATTTTTCATCCGACTCAACAAAACATTTAGGTATTTTAAGTCAATCCTAAAAAAATAATAGCCCTCGATTCCTTATAGAAGATGATCTTTAGTTTTCTTTGGTGTTTTTATAGGGTAAGCTTTAATATTCCTGACTCGCCACCAAATCTTCACCCTTTCTATCTTTTAGAATTAACATTTTCCTTCAATGGTCCGACCAGTAATTATTTTTCACCTCATGATAACAACACCACGTGCTTTCTATACTTAATAAACTATTCCTTGATCCTTAAAGGTATAAAAATACTTTATAGCTAAGATTAGTACATACGTTGAGCATTACATCATTATCCATCATTATCTTCAGTAATAAAGAGAACACTTAACACGAAGCAGTATATATATCACACATGTTCTTACAAAACCAATATGGCAGAATATTTTATAAAAGTAATATGATAAGTATAAAGATACACAGTAAATATACAATAGCATTTAGATTAAAAATTTTCAATAAAATTCGTCAGATACAAAAAAAACACATTAAAAATCACAATGATCAACTCAAGATGTAAAGATTAAGAGAGGTACTGTACTCACGGAAGAAAGCGAGCCCAGCCACACACATGTCACCAGGCGGCGACCTGCAAGTGCCACACTCAAGCTCGCAAATTGTTTGGAAGGTCAACCTCTCGCCTAACATTTTATCCAAGTGATCGTGAGTTATTTTTAATGTGTCAGTGAAACATGGCTGACTAATGTGCTGTGTATGGTTGTAATTCATGTGGCAGACAGAAAGGCAATGTTGCATTCTATCGCTTTCCCCAAAAATGAGGAGGGAAGACGAAAATAGATTCATCTGTAACATTGATATGGTGGTATACGATAATAATAGTAACATTGGAATGTATACAATATTTTTCATTCCACTACAGAGTCTGATAATGTAAAACCAGACAGAACAACAAAATATTGAGCTTTATGGTTGGTCATACCCATCTTTCCCATACAAACCAACGTTGGCTAGTGGGGTTGAGACAATCAAAGTGTCTGTAAATATATCAGAGAAACAAGAACTAGTGTAGTATTTACGGCAAATAAAAAAAATAATAATATCTGGCTTTCATGTAATTTGCTACAGAAATGCCATAAGAAGTCTGTCCCTCGAGACTCTGTGAGCTTGTAGTGGATTTCTCCCCTACAAACGCTGTTTGTCGCTGAGTAGCCGACCCCGCGAATTCCACAGTGTATGCCTCGTGGTAAAGGTCAACCAGCGCCGCCATACATCACGGAGGTCAACTATTAAGCCACGCCTACCTCCGCTATATAAGACCTGACCTCGTGGTGACCTCTCTCTTCTTCTAGCTACAGCCGCAGCAAGCTACACCACCTCCTCCGCCGGTGCCTGGCGGTCCTCGCTCCCGCCGGCGAGCATGGCGACCCACAAGCTGTCCTCCTCTGAGCACCCTCACCAACCAGCTCTCTCTACATCACGCTTGTAACCACGCTGCCACTTCCCAGCACCAAGCTGCATTGTACATCCAATACAACATGTATACAGAGAGCACATTGTGAGTTTCCTTTCTCCATCCCATCCTGAGTGAACACCAAACATCCCATACCCCACAAGCTCTCGTCCCATTCATAAGCAAAATGTACTTTCTAAACTTCTTCATTTAGTGACATTTACCCATCCATACTCCTCCCCCTGCATTATCACTTATTACATTTACCTTTATGCAACTCCTGAAATAAGAACTAACTTTCTGTCTGTCACTAATATTCATAGATGTTTAAGCACATAAGAATATAAGAATGGAGGAAAACTGCAGGCAGCTCCGTTTACACCCAACCTCCTATCGCTCATATATATCCGTACAACCTATCTTCCTCTTCTGTGTCCCTTTCGTGATGGCATCTGTCAGTGCCCTCTGCTCGCCCCACAATCCTCCTTCATCTTTGCTGCTCTCCCACCACTGTCACACTTAAACATTTCCGCCAATTCTTGTTTTGCTTGTCTGTTGCGAAATTGTGTCGACATAACTCATCCACCTTTCCTCCAAGTTGTGTTTTTCAGTATTCAACAGTGTGAGCCAATCTACACCATGGTTAGGTCTTTATGCCCGAATCATATTTCGCTCCGCTTCATAATCTTGACAATTTCTTATTTTTTAGTATTGATCATTTGTTTATTATTTTTTT